AAACCTCAGAAATGGAAATATAGGTTTGGCATGTGCGATTAGACAATGTTAGGCAGGAATGAAAAGTTCGCATAAATATGGGGAAAAGGAGTGAACAACTCATCCTCATAGGCTGCTGCTTTACACCCAAGTCGGCAATTCTAAGACACTGCGCCGAAGACTGCTGCGACGCAGATGAGCCCCGCCGAAGACTGCTCCGACGCAGATGAGCCCCGCCGAAGACTGCTCCGACGCAGATGAGCCCCGCCGAAGACTGCTCCCCTTCCGAAGACTGCTCCGAAGAAGCTGAGCCCCGCCGAAGACTGCTCCGCAGAAGATAAGCCCCGCCGAAGACTGCTCCGAGGAAGATGAGCCCCGTCGAAGACTGCTCCAATGTTGTCTGATATTCGATGGGTTATGTCATGTCAAGTCCTGTTGCTGCCGTGTCATGTAAAGTCCTATTGCTGTTGTGTCATGTAAAGTCCTATTGCTGTTGTGTCATGTAAAGTATTGTTGCTGTTATGTCATGTAAAGTCCTGTTGCTGTTGTATCATGTAGGGTCCTGTTGCTGTTGTGCCACGTTAAGTCCTGTTGCTCTCGTGTCATGTAAAGTCCTATTGCTGTTGTGTCATGTCAAGTCCTGTTGCTGTTGTGTCATGTAAAGACGTTGAACCGAATGCGGCCAGTGTAACGGTATAGCTATTCCGCGCGGTTTGTCGCGTGACTGGGACTGATAAACACATTCCAGCCATTATACAGTTATGGTCAGTGGCTGCCTGTTCGTCGCTTTCGCCTGTGATGTTCTTTTGCCGACATCTCGCCTGTCGCCAGTGTTGGTTCTAGGGCTTTGAATGCCACGTATATCTCCGCTTATTGACTCTCAGTAATGTTGAGTATGGCCTTCAACGATCAGCAATTATCATCTGTACAAAGAAATGCCTCCCCAAATATTTACCGTGCTGCTCATGAACAGTAAGGCGCATCGTGATCCTAGAGTGGATTGACAACACCATAGCTCCAAGCTACACAAGAGATACTTACGACTAATGGTTCACACTTTACGCTGTACAATTTCTGCAAAACTGTGGCTTTCTTGGCACAAGTGAAAGTTCGTTGCTGCTGCTGAGTGACAGCATTAGCACTTCGTTTAGATCAAAGTGTTGAGACGTTTCCAACCGTGTGTCAGTTGGTAGAGCCCCAATGTGTTCAACAGGACCAACACGTCCACAACACATTCAACGGGGCCACATAAGTAGGCAGGTAACTATGTTTTGGGTGTTCCTGCACTCGTAGTGAACAGAATAATTTTTAAGGCCTCGCTTTCACCCGTTCTAGAAATCATCCAATTAGGAATCATTTGCTTTAGATTAGATAGAACCTCCTCTTTAGATAAGCCACGTTTCGCTGGGGCTTTAGTGTCATCTAAAGCCATTTTTGTTTGTTAGACCTACTTCTGCCTGGAAGAGCATTTCAATGCTATGATATTCATTGCAATGGCAGAAGTCGATGATGCTGCCGTCAGCCAGGATTAACCCCGGAGCCCAAACCTGCACCGCGTAGACAAAAAAAAAACAAAACAAAAAAAACGGCAGGGCTGTGCGGTCGCCCGGCTGGGGTACCGGCCTGGACCCCCCATACCCCAAACCCCACACTCGGGGCGGCCCATACCCCGTACCCCACAACCGGGGCGGTCCATACTCCGTACCCCTCACCGAGGCGGCCAATACCTCGTACCCCAAACCCGGGGTGGTCCATATCCCGTACCCCACACCCGGGGCGATCCATACTCCGTATCCCTCACCGGACGGCTCATGACAAGCGGCCGCAGCACTCCCCTGCGGTGGGAGACAAAGCGACGCGAGAATGCCGGACGAAGCCATGGATGCGGATGCTGAGTCGGACGGCTTCGAGTCGTCCGCCGCCGTAGCTGTGCGGATATCCGCCGACTGAACTGCGTTGATGACGTCTTACGTCCGCTCGGCAATGCCGTACCCTTGAAGCTGATGTAAACAGCGTCAATGTACCGCGAAGGCGAGCCGTCACAACGTGTGGTTTTCCAGGCCTGGACATCGGTCTGTAGTAAACAGCGTGCTCGGCTGCTGCGATGGAGGGGCGGGGAGGACGGCAGTCTGCACCGTTCGCCGTAACCCTGACCCAGTTAGGAGACACGTGGCACATGACACGGCGCCGGGAGACGTCAGGGGATGCTGACGAAAGCGCATCACCGTTGAACGGCCTTGATTTTTGCAAACTGGCCGGCTGTTTATGACCATTTTTTGGATCGAGGATCAGTCTCAAGTGTGGTCCACCTCACCGCTTTCTTCTCTTCCTCGCCTCAGCCTTCAACACAGAGCGCGATGCTTCAGAGGCGACGGAAGGGCTTCCCAGCGGCACACCAACGAGGGCTTGCGTGCTCGGCCGGCATGCGTGATTGCACACGGCGGCGGGACCCGCAGCCGCGCGTCGCCGGCGGCCTCACTGCTGACGGCGCGAGGAGCGGGTGCTCGGTGACTCAGCGGAGCGTTACGGCCGTGACGTAAGGCCACACCCCTGCCGTTTAAGAGGCGGATTGTGGACACTGGGCGGCCGCCGACCCTTTCTGAAGCCGCCAGAGTTGGAAGAACGCGAGAGCCGACGGTTATGTTGCCGGATAGCCATCCGCGGGATTTGCTGGCAAGTGGAATTTGCTGGCAACTGTCATTAACATGCTTGCTGTAGACCCATCGCTGAATTGTTGGATTTCTTTGTGCACGCATGACCAAATAGCATAACTAGCAATCCATGGGTGTTCTGGCATGACACCGCGAATTAAAAAAAATATATACCATTTCCATGGCACACGCTGCATATTTGGATCGGAACAGACTCATAACGCATTCTTTGATTAATGACTTGACAAACGTAGAAACCAGTGTAGACTGACCCACACACTTTCATAAAAACCTAACGCTAATATCATTTAAATACATGAAAAAGCTTCACTAAGAAGTATGTGTAGTTTTTTGGAACCTTTCTGCCCTTTTGAATGACCGCCTCCGGATGACAGCCGACATCAGCATCTTCAGCGCATCTCTCTCCGTGTCACTAATCCGCAACATGTGACGCGCTGCCGACCAATGCCCGCGCTTTGCATTGGTGTACCACAGGCGGTTGTTTGCAGACCATATCTTAAGTCCGCGCTTTGGAAGCTGCTAATAAAACCTGCTCGCTGAGGATGACAACAGGTCGTACCGTCCTGGGCAAGCGGGCGGAAACCGGGGCCTGTTCAGCTTCCGCGAGACATCCCAAAGCTTCACATCCCAAAGCTTCACATCCCGAGGCTTCACATTCCGAGGCTTTGCACCCCGAGGCTTCATATTCCGAGGCTTTATTACATCCCAAGGTTTCACATTCCGTGACTTCACATCCCGAAGATTCACATTCCCAGAGGCTTCACATCCCTAGGCTTCATATCCCTAGGCTTCATATCCCGAGGCTTCATATCCCGAGGCTTCACATTCCGAGGTTTGGCATCCCGTGGCTTCACATTCCGAGGCTTTACATCCCGAGGCTTTACATTCCGAGGTTTGGCATCCCGTGGCTTCACATTCCAAGGCGTCACATCCCGAGGCGTCACATTCTGAGGCTTCACATCCGGAGGCTTCACATCCGGAGGCTTCACATCCCAAGGCGTCACATCCCGAGGCTTCACATCCGGAGGCTTCACATGCTCAGAGACACACAACAGTTCAGTCCCGCCGAGAAATGAATTCCATCCAGGGCATTATCAGGTCAAGCATGGTCTGCGATTCGTGGCATGCACGCCTGAGACATTATATCTCCTTAACAGTCTTCAGTACTGGCAGGATCACCACTGGCGTCTTTGCGGTCCGAAGTCAAGTAACATTTGTACAGAAGGGTCATTTTATGTGCTTTCGCCACATGAAACTCAAACGTCAAATAGATTTGTCTCCAACAACATATTACCCACGCTCGCGCCCATTGTCTTTTTATTATGCCGACATGCGCTAACGCAAGGCAGGGTAGCAAGGTAGGGTAACGGAATAGCACGGCAGCAGGATAGCAACACAGGTCATTACAGGACGTCGGACAAGGTCGAGACATGGCTTCACGAAAGAGCAACCAGTGTATTGGCCTTAAACTTAGACCATCCGGCTAGCACCACAAGTAAGCTGCGGATAGGATAATGCTCCTCAAACCTCTGAAAAAGGGCAAATAACTTGATAAAGAACTCGATGAAACAAAACAGATTTTAAGCGCTTTAAATCTGCTCAAGCTACCTCTTTTTTGAAAGACCGTATCCGTTCCTTTTGATTGCATGGATTCCTGAGATCATTGCTGACGGTAAGCAGTACTTGTCGTCGGCGCCTTGACTCCCGCCATCTGACCAGAAAATTCCAGGTCAGTGCCAGAATTTGGCGGGAAATGGCCACCATGGTCCGTCTTGTCCTATGATGTCACTCGACCTTCACCGCGACCGCTGCCGCCGGCCGCAAGCCATCTCAGTCAAGGGCATGCCGACTTGAGCCCGTCCAACCCCGGGAGGATCGATCGGAATGCCGGTGTTCCGACCAGTTGTGCTATCGGGAGCTATCTTCACTCTAATTAGGCTCCAGCGGATACTTAGCGTGCTCCCTGACCCCCAACAGCCTTTCATCCGTGCCTACGCACACGACTCCGTCTGTGTCTCGTTTCGCGATCCCCGGCCAGTTTTAATGGGGCGCATCGGTGCACCTAACAGATGCGGTAGCGGAAGCGCAGCAAACCGCCGAGGGGCACAGGCTCATGCGGTGTCCAGCGTGAAGAGCCGAGGAAGAGCACCCACGTGACGCACTCCAATCACGCTGAATCCGGCGGAACCGCCGCCAGCCGCCACGCCATACCGCTCTGTGACGTCACACCCCGCTCCGCTCTGTGACGTCACGCTCCAGGGAACCAGCCGCCGAGTGGAAGCGGGGCGCCGGTGCTGCGAGGGCAGTAGGCACCGCTCCGCGGCACGAGCAGGAGGGATACAGGGCGCCGCCGTTCGGCAGACACGCGAGGCAGCGCAGCGAGGAGGACAGCAAGACGGGGTGCACGACGATCCGACAGCGGCTTTCGCAGGCGGTGGCGAGGTAACGGAGGTCGAGGTCAAGGTCGGCAGCGAGGTCGCGGGTGACCTGACCCCTCTGGGACGCCATCGCGTGCTTCTTGCTCACTCGCTGCGCAGCGGACCGTGATGGCCATCTGGCGGACCTGCCTGGCTTGCGCGCTGCTGGCAACGCTCGCCGGCGGCGCCGAGCTGCCGGCCAAGTGGTGGCTCGTGTCGGAGGAGGACCCGTTCGGCGCCCTGCTTGAGGAGCTGGGCGATGACGCACCGCCGCGACTGAGCGAGCCGCCGCCCCGAGTGATCGAGGACTCGAGAGCTCACTCGCCACCGCCACCGCTGGCGGCGAGAGAACCCACCCGCTTCCCTGCGCGCCGGCCCGTCGGGGCTGCCGGCACGCCGTCGGGGCCGGCTAGCGCTGCCGCGATGGCGCTGCCGCCGCCGCCGGCGGCTGGTCTCGTCGGCGGCGGCGCCGGCTTTGGAGGAGGCGGAAGAGGCAGCAGCTTTGGAGGAGGAGGCGGCGGCGGCGGCGGCGGCGGCGGCGGCAGGGGAGGAAGCGGAGGAGGATCCCGTGCGCCTTCGAGACGCCCGAACGGTGGCGCGATCGTGTTCCCGACCGAGCCGGCGACGGGCACGGAGAAGCTCGGGCCGGTCAGGTGCTTGTGCAAGCCGGCCGCCCAATGCCCACAGCTCAGCTCACCTCTCACCCCGCGCAGCGAGTTCGGCAACTCGCGCGCGCAGGCGGACAATCCGTTTGGCAGCTGTGGCGCCGGCCAAGTCTGCTGTCCCCTGCAGCAGTCGTATGGGTCCAAGTGCGGTCGAATCGTCCCAAGAGCTCGCTCGCAACAGGTGAGGACTGATAACTAACTCATTGAGGACTGAAAAAATTAAACATTTAATGAATCATTGAGTGTTCATTAAAATCACTTAAAACTCAATATATGGTCGAGGACTCAATGCTTCATTAAGCGCTCAATGCATCATTGACGATTCAGTGAACCGTTGAGGACTCAACAAATTATTGAGGACTCATCAACTTAATGAGGAATCAATTAATAATGTAAATGTGGAATCAATTAATAATGTGTTAATAATGCAATGTAATAATGTGCCAATTAATAATTTGTCCGTCCCGGTGGCTCAGTTGGTTAGAGCGCCTGCCTCCCGATTCACCCACCCGCGGCGGGGTGGATTCGAGTCCCTTTAGGCGCTCGCTATTTGCCCTTGACAGGCATGGCCTGCGGCCGGTGGCAGCGGTCGCACTAAAGGTCAGTTGACGTCAGAGGGCAGGACGGACCGTGCCGAGCATTGCGGCACGTCAAGCTTTCGCCACTAAATTCTGCCGTTGCCTGGAATTGCGCGATCGGATGGTAGGGGTCAGGGCTCACACAACAAGCACTGCTTAGAGTGAGCGCTGATTCCAGAAATCCATCCATTCAAAGGGTTCGGATCAAATTTCTAAAAAAAAAGAAATGTAAGACCACCACATTACTGTGATCTTCTTCGAGGCGGTACCGATTCGCCGTCACTGCCATTGGAATGGAGTTTGGCAAGAGGAATGGAGGAGGAATGGAGGAAAAATGGAGGAATGGAGGAGGAGGAATAGAGGTTGCAAGGTTGCGCCGTGTTTAAATTTCTAGGATGCAATGCTCTGGTCGGGGCTAATGCGCTTTCTTCGAAGGACAAAGAAGTCGATGCGTGATGTTCCGCAGCGGACCATGCCTGCTGTCCGGCTGTGTTCGCTCCGGACCCCGGCGCAGTCTCTTGATGTTCCGCAGCGGACCATACTTGCTGTTCAGCGGGGTTTACTTCGGGCTCTGGCGCAGTCTCTTGATGTTCCGCAGCGGACCACACCTGCTGTTCAGCTGGGTTCACTTCGGACTCTGGTGCAGTCTCTTGATGTTCCGCAGCGGACCATGCCTGCTGTCCGGCTGCGTTCGCTCCGGACCCCGGCGCAGTCTCTTGATGTTCCACAGCGGACCATACCTGCTGTTCAGCTGGGTTCACTTCGGGCTCTGGCGCAGTCTCTCGAAAGGGATCATTCGTATGCTACCTCATGCCTTAAGATGCAATGCAGCTAAATGGGGCATTGACGGTGGGTGGGTCACAGCCTCCAACAGCAGTTCTGTATGGATTATTCACTGTGAGTTGTGCCATTCAAAGCTCAGGTATTGCGCAAGTTTGAGGCCGTGTAAGCAACTTTCCTTAACCCCTGTCATGACTGGCTTCTGTTGGTGGCTCGGTTTCGCCGACGGATATCGGTATTATTGAGCCACTGATAACAACAGCGCTGCAGCCATAAACGATTTTGGGTATTGCGATACCCGTTCGAGGAGCGTAGAAAATTTGATGTTATTTTTATGTGGAGCAGCCGTTTCTAGGTTGCGTCTTTGCGAGCCGGGGAGAATCCCAGCGGGATCATGTGATAAAATGTCAAATGATCTCGGGACAGAGAAGTTCTGGTGCTTGACCTCATTCAGGAGGTCACATGGCTTGCAGGAGTTTTTAAAGACCATGTCTGATGATAGCATTAGCCAGAAGCTGGCCCATATGCACATTTTGTAGATGACGTACACATTTGAGCTTTTTGGAAACGCGTAAAAGATGCATAGAACGCGATGCGCTTAAACACGAAACAGAAAAAAGCATTTCCCCATTCATGAGCCTAATCTTAGTCAATGTAAGACTGTTAATCACCAATCCCCAACAGAGCCCCAACCACCCACCCCAATCCCCAATTCCTAATCCCCAACTGATGCATTGCCCGTCACACAGACAGGCTGATGAGGAGCGCCAAAGTTCTGCCAGGACCTGATCACTGGAAATTGCTCGGGTCTGGTCATGAAAATGTGGAAACGTGACGTAACCTTACCAGGGTAATAACAGTACCCAAAAAATCGAACCCTACCAAAGAACGCGGTTGGCTCTGAAGATTAACTTCAAAATTTTCCATGCGCAGCAATCAGAAATGTTGTGGTACAGTTCACGCGAGAGTATCTCCAGAATCATCAGACCTTTCATCAAATTACCCGGGAGATCGCAAGCCTGGTGAGTCTCATTCGACTACTTCCATTGCATCGTTATCAATTGATCATTTTCTTATAAGAGCAGATCATAAGCGGTCACGTTGGCAATAAGCCTTCTGCAGGGCTGTCAGTGTAGTGTCAAAGCACCAAAGATGACTGATGGCCAGATCAATTACCTAATCCCCTTCTCTCAACAGCTGCCTACCCCTCTATGCGGTGTGCCAGTCAACAACCACCAGAAAGACCTCCAGGCATGTTGTGTACCGTCATCCACAGGGCTTTCCTGGCGCAAGTTACTCGAGCCATGGTGACATTCTCAACTTAAGCGTGCCTGCTCGTCCAGGTCGTTGCACTTTCCACGAAAAGCTGTCACGAGTGAATGCTGCCCGTGGAGCTTAATATCCTTTAATCGCGGAGGGCAGAGTCATGCAGATTCCCGCCACAGAAAGCGCATTTCTAAAGCTGCGCTGTACAGATTGGTTGGCATTTGCAAGCCAACTGCTTTGTCAGACAAGTTTTACTGCAACTCTGCAAAATCTCGAAGACTTCACCTCAGCATTCGACTATCGTGGAAAATGTTGCTGCGCTCTCTGCTGTCCAAAGTTAACACCATATATGTATATTTTCGGCCATTTTGTGCTCTCATTGGATTCATTTTTGCAAGCTGAATTCCGTTATTCAAACTATTACATAAGAAGTTTACAAGGTTTTAGCTAAAAAAGGCAAAAAGTGAGTAAAAACTTCAGCTTATGATTTAAAAAAACGAATTCACCTTAAGGAGATGAGCGAAATGACGTAAAACCCAGCATGACCAAAAATCAAATATGGTGCTTTACCTGCGGCCGGCAGCGCTCACTTTGCCAAAAGACTGACGAAGCGGCTCAAAGTCGGCACCGGATCTCGGCAAGCAGGTGTCCGGTGATGTCATGCCAACTAGTACCGAAGGCGGGGATTACAGCCAATCGTATCAGTCGCATTAGCTCAAGTGTGGCCCGAGGCGCGCTATTGGTCACGCGCTCTCGTGCTGAATCCTTGGATCCATCCGTCCGGATCATTGGATCCATCCGTCCATGAGACCCTGGACCCATCCATCATCTGTCGTGTTCAAGGATGGCTGTCACATCTCAGCATCCAGGGTATAGGCAAAGATGAGGACATCTGCATGGTGCACTGGCTATCGAACATAGGGCATCTCAAGGCGCAAGACACATATCAAAACACTGCACGACACCGACCAATCACTGACACACCTATGTCTACGACTGTACGACATAGGTGTGTCAGTGACTGGTCGGAATACGGCCAGCGCCACCATTTTAGAAAACTATCTCAAACGTAAGACGCTGTGCGGAAAATCGCGGAAGCTTGGCTGTGGAGACTGCTCGGGTGCACAGGTGGCTTAGTTGTTGCAATACCCAACCAAAACATTTGTGCTCTTTCCGAGTATTTTGCTCACAATTGCCAAGATGATCAATCGCTGCAAATTCTACGATTTGGTCGGCTGTAATTGCCCGGTATAAGCAGGCTCATTGCAACTTCTTTTCAATCGTGTTGTTGTAGAGGGTTGCACCAGTGCTACACCATTGGACCTCCACCCGCTAGATCCTTACGAAATGTAGACTTTCCTAGGTATTTGTGAAACCCATTGATTTCAATTACCGAAGGTGTATGTATCAGCCTGGTTTCTGGTAACAGCCGGCAATCCTCAAGTGTGTTTTGGCCGTACTCGTCCTGTGATGAGCCTGACCTCTTGCTGGCTGCGAGAGGCTCGTTTATTCTGAAGAAAACCGGCAATGATTCAAGTTTTTCCGTGTGAAATTGCCTCCTCCAAAGCGAATGTACTACCGTGCATTCTACAACTTTGAATCCAATGCCGTACATTCTACTACTACTACGCACTACCGTGCCCCGCCGGACATCTGGTGTCATCTTCGTCATATGGTTTTGCTAGTATTCCGCGCAGTAAGCGCCGCCATTGTCAGTCATTGTCGTGTTCGATCATTTGAAACATTGCCTTAAGCTTGTGCAGACATAGAGGTCAAAAAGCATTCCACGAGATAGGGCGTGACTTCTTCTCCCAGCCTCTCGCCTACATGTCTCGAAGAAACCCGTGCTTCTCCTGCATGTGCGGATACGGATCGCGTGGTTTTTTTCGGCTCAGTTAACAATGCCCAATATGCACCGGCTGAGACCTGTGCAAAACCATCATGATCAGAACCAACCGCTCTTTGTGGCGTTAACCTGTATCTAATGCGATCTCTTTTGGGCCGCTCACGATCAGAGTATGGGGCTCTGCAGTTGCCTACAGTTGCCTACAGTTGCCTACAAGCAGTATCTTGAGTATTCATGCCTCATCTTATGCACAAGCGTTCGGTGCTTGCATTACGAAACCATCACATTTCGCGGGCGAAGGAATGGACCGCTTGCTCAATGCTGTGGACATCCTCGTGTCCACGGCACGTCACATGACATGCGTACGTTTCAGTACCGGTATGGCTGGACCGCTTTCTCAACGCGTCCTCGTGTCCGCAACGTGCCGCGTGACGTGCATACATCTCAGTACCAGCATTGCAGCCAGCTCGTTGTTGAGGATGGCTCCCACACCAGCCAGTCCCCTGGTCTCCTTTTCTTCTCTTCGCTTTCAACATCTTCTCTTTAATTGCGCTCAGCTTCATCCGTTTCCTTTCGGCCATTCTCATGCAAATCTTTTGCAGCACAATAGTGGTTGTTTGGTGCCACGCCCTCTAATAGCCTCTGGATACGGCTTTGTGTGCCAGCACATCCACTTTCTACAAAACACCTTTAATACTGCTGCCACCCACCAATACTCTGGGTCGCTTAGCTTCACCGATTTCTACATACCGTCCTCAAAGCTGATGTGACCCAGCAATACCCTGGGTCGCTCAGTGTCACCGATTTCCAAATACCACCTTCAGGACTGATGCCACCCAGCAATATCCTGGATCACTCAGCCCGACCGATCTTGATCGGGTCGATTAATGGCTACAAACGGACTCTTTATCGCTGAGAACGCGTCCCTGGCACTGGATTAGGTACTTCAGAACTAGCAAGGAAGCAGTGTTCATGACAGAAAAATGTTCAATGTCAAGAGCGTCTCGGGATCATGTCTGGCTGCTGGTATCCAGGCTGCACCATGAGATCGCGGTTGCGCAGATCAGTGATGTAGTTGTGGCTTTGTGGGTAGACGCGCAGCTGCTGCGGGGGGGGGAGGACTTTCAGAACACATGTTGTCATAAACTAGGCGGCTGGTCTCTCTGAACGCCCTGCATCGCCTCGTTCTCGGACACCGTCATCGGTTTCTTGAGCAGGCAGCTCCGATGTCATCTGCTGCTGGTGACACGGTGCAGCTGCGACGTAACGGGCCGCTGCTGCTCGCCCTGCCCGCGTCACTCTGCTCGTCACGGAGCCGCCCTCGATGTGGGTGTGGCCTGACGGTGACGCGCGAGAGGTCACCGAGTTCCATCTCCCGGGAGGGGGGGGGGGGGGGTGGCGCCACGGAGAGCACGCTCCCGAAGCATCGTCTCATCTCGCAGCACGTGGCACACGATCTGAGGCCACACTCCAGCCCGATTGTTTACCTCAAAGCGCCGCCCTCGGCGCAAGACGGGTTTTCCGGAGCGCCCGCGCCCCCGCCCTGCTAGCCCCCCCCCCCCCCCCGCTGAGGGACGCGGGGCGCCGTGTCGGTGAAAGTGACCGGCGATGTAGCCGTCCGCGGCCGTCACGGCACGATGCGATCTTCATCTCGCGTCTGGCACGTGCAGCGGCGGCAGCGGCAGGGCCAGCGCTCGGGCGAGCCTGACGGTCGGCAGAAGCCGGCGTGGAGGGGACAGGTGTTGGCGGGGGTAAGGGACTTTGGGAGCCGACGGGTGATGGGTGTCACACGAGCCAAACCGTCGACGCCATTCGTGATCACCGGGAGGAAGAAACGGTCCGAGCATGCGCCACTGGCTGCGCCCATGAGGCTCGCAATTACCGTTCACGGCATGACATCTGGTCTCGCATGATGACGTTGATAATCTCTAGATTACCAGTCTGATGTTGAAGGGAGGATTTTTGTCTTAAGTATTATACTATACCTTATATACTATTCTTCACGTTGGAAGGTTTGCGCAATGTCTTTAGAAACACGTCCTGGATAATTTATGCAGGATGATTACAGAAAACCTTTACCCCTGTTGCATGGTAAATCCCAGCACAATAACGACCACCTGGCAACTCTGCACTTCCCCGGGCCTCCCATTTTATATCGGCTTTGTGTGGGGATAAGATCGACACCGCACGCCTCAGGGCCAGGTACTCAGGGATCCTCAAATGCAAGAATTCCAATCGCCGGATGACGAGAACACGCCGTATCTCCCAGCGCAGCGTTGCTGAAGGACACCAGAGCGGAGCACCGGTAGCTTCAGCGAATCCTTCTCTCCGTGTTCCCCGCCTCCTCCGCCCCCTCAGTGGACTTCCCTGCCGTTAAGGATCAGCTGGCGGCGGGGGCCTTCCCCGCCGACTACCAGCATAGGCGAATCTCCAGGTGCCCGGCGCCGCCAGCCGCCACGCCGAAGAGGCCGGCTGACCAAGACCAACGCCGAGGTCATCCGGTCGGCGGGCAACATCCCGACCGCACCGTCACTCGGAGGAACGCTGGATGAGGACGTGCACGTCCTCCGAGGCGCCGGAGGACTGCTGTCGTCTTGGACGGGGTCGTGGCAGCTTCGCCTGATCCGGAGAACTGCTCGACGCAGAGGTCGCGCCGCTGCTCGGCGCGTTTCCTGGAGCAGTCTTCGCCACATATCGTAGCGCTCCGACGGCGCTCCAGACACCCTGACCGCGGCCTGGGATCACCGCATACGGATCGGACTCGGCCGGGTCGGAGGCGCTGGCGCTGGCGGGAGACCGAGCCCGAGCGGCTGCACAGGGTGGCGTGCCTCCCGTCCAGGGCAGCTGCCCCGCTGCCCAGCGCAGGGGGGGGGGGGCGGCCGCCACCTGGGCGGGGAAGCGCACCGCCTTCATCAGTTGTCAGAGCTGCTATATCTGCCCAGTTGTTCCAGCAGTAGGAGCCGGTCGACCCAAGCGCCCCCTTTTTCTGTCTTCAGGATATAAACACCCAACGAGCCGTCCTTTACCACCCGAATAAACGCGTGGCCTGCATGCTACTAGGGAGCCGCCATAGTCATCTCTATACTATCAGTTGTCTGTCTTGTCGCTAGGTGGCACTATGTGACATGGCCTGGCGGGACCAGTGGCTGGCTCTTCCCGTGTCTTTGACTGACACTCTCGTGGATTGAACCAGGAGCCACGGGTGCGGCCGTCATCTACACATTCTGCTTGTTGCATTATTTATTTCTTGGTTTGTGAATTGTGAGTTCATACGGAGTGTACCCACCCTAATCGTAGGAACCGAGGCGGGGCGTGCAGATCTTCATTCGTTCTCGGACGGCGGGGGTGCTTTGGCAACTGCCGTGGCATTTCTTTTTTTTCTATCATCGGCGTATACGCACCCAACAACCGATCTTCAGCGTTCAGCTACCATACTGCGTACTACCTTATTTCCGAATGTTCGGATGCGCACACGTTCATCCTCGGATAGTGGAGGTGCAACGGTAGAGAATGCTGAACGTGAACCCTATGGCGACTGTTGGCAGGCATCGCTTGCCAATCAGTTATGGCATCCCCTTTCCTAGCCATTTCGAGATCCACCACTGAACTTTGTAAAGACTGTAACCTGCACGTAAACTTGGGACCGATGCACTGGCGTCATGTTTTCTATGGTATTCTACTTTTTACTATTGCGTGAGCGTGACGTCCCTCCATGTGAACTTGCGAATCCCTCAGCGCCGCGGAGTAAAGGTAGCTGTATCTCAGAGTAGTAAAGGTATCTGTATCTCGCTGCACCAGCGTACAGTGCGGCGGCACGACATCCCATTGTCAAAGTCGGCATTGTTGGAGGTTTACTGATTACTGACTTTCCTAACCAACAGAGCTTTTACTCCTTGCACGCCGTCCGACTTTCTATATGACTCCTTACTGTAATGGCCTTCAGCAGCTTCCGCCACTCGGCCCCCCACCGCTGGTCCTTATGTCCGTATCCGTATCGTGACGATGCCCCTGTCAGTCGCCCTCACAGCGCGGCGCGTGTGCAGACCGGTGACAGCTCCGTCGTGTCGGGCAGGGCGTGCGGGACTCGCAGGCGCCGTGGGCGGTGGCGCTGCTGGAGAAGGTGCCCAACGGCTTCATCTTCGCCTGCGGCGGCGCCCTGATCCACCCGCAGGTGGTGCTCACCGCCGCCCGCTGTGTGGACAGGTGAGTGCACGGTCTGTCTCCTAGACGGGCTGCTACACGGCGGAAGCAGGGGCGCAGCCACGCAGGTGGGAGAGGTGAAGGGGGAAGGGGGTGGGGGTGGGGGGCTTCAACTTGGCCTGGATGCTTTCGTTTCTCACATAGATGACCCTCAACGGAAAGTTAGAATTGGCGTGATGCGTGCTAACCACACTCCTTCCCTTAAGACAATCCTGACTGCGCCCCTGGAATAATGTAGCCGGCCGCACACCAGCACGATGACGCTATATGGACAGCATATGCTGGCGTGACGCGGAGAAACGACGACCGGAACTCCGCCTCCGAATTCCCTCTGTACCTTCTGTCCCCCAGCACGGTATCCAGCCGGCGGGCAAACTTGCATGGCTTGCATGCCCTCTGGACAGGACCGCGATTTTCTAAGGAAAGGGAGGGGAGGAGCTCAGTTAACGCCCATCACAATGGGACTGAAGGAGGCGTCGATGGAGTTGCACTGGAAATGCCGGCTCGAGGGGGGGGGGATGGGCACTCCGGTTGCACCCTAGCAGGTTGGTATAAATGCGTCCGCGTTTGATTTTTTAACGGGCTTGTCCGGAGCTCAGTGCCCGGCGGTGATGGCGACAAGAAGCGTCTCTCGATGCTCTCTCGAAGCTTTGCGATGCTTCCTGACCTGATTCCTTATCTGACCTGACCAACCTGCTCCACAGGCTCGGCGAGAGGAAGAAGTCCCTGGTGGTGAGACTCGGTATCAAGGACCTGCTCTCTACCGACGAGTCGATGCCCAACGTGGAGATGGAGGTGAGGGTTGTCTCTTCAGAAGCATTTGCGTTGTCACTGGGTGCCAGTGGCACACAAATTCTTTCGGTATGTACTTGCTCCTATCTTCCCCAGAGTCAACGGATACGCTCGTCCGGCAGCCATCAATCCACTCCCGTCCTCATTTTGGTGTACCATGTTACTGCAAGTGAAGATTCTTGCCTTGTCTTATATTTGCTGGACTTCAGTTTGGAAGCGTTTCGTAAACACGCTGCTGTAATGTGTATACTGTCAACGTTTAGGCATGCCTTTCATGTTTTGCTGCGATTTAATGAGCCTGCAGAAACTGTTTGGAGCGCTCACACATAACACGACGCCTCGTCCGGGAACTAACGCCTGCCTGCCTCGTCGCCCAGGTGGAAGAGTTTCTGCTGCACCAGAACTACAGTCGTGAGGAGAAGTACAACGACGTGGCGCTCCTGTTTCTGCGCGCGCCGGTCGAGCTGGGGCCCAACCTGGGCACGATCTGCGTCCGGCCGAAGGTCGATGGAAACAGTGGCTGCACCGTCCACTCATTCGGCCTCCAGCCAGCGGGTGAGGCAACGACCGGGGTCACGGCGGGGTCATCGCACGGGCGGTCAGGGTCACGACAGGGCAGCCGGGACCATGGGAGGGGAAGAGAGTTAAGAAATGGTGACGAGAGTTATGTCAGGGTGGCTAGCGAGAAACGGATGGCCAGAGTTACGACGGGGATAAAAGTGAACGAGACCACGCCATGGTACTCATGGTGCTGGCTTAGGAGTGTGTTAACAATACAAAACTGACAACAACCCAGTTTTCTTCATTTCGTAGCATTATATTTTATTTGACGTGCAGACACTGCCCATCCGAGTGTCAAATGCGTCATCGCGAGTGATTCAAGTGATTCAAGAGGCGAGGTGATCCTGACACGCTGGGCACCTAAGACGGCTCAGTCTGGCCCTGACCTTCGCCTGACCTCTGGTGACCTCCACCTGACCTCTACTGACCTTCATCTGACTTCTACTGTCCTCCATCTGACCTCTATTAACATCCACCTGACCCCTATAGACTGCTGGCACTGCTGACCTGACCCTACGACCTGACCTCTGCTGACCTCCAACGGACCTCTGACGACCCGTTCTCCGTGCCAGGCTCCTCGTCGTTCGACCTGCGGCTGCGGGAGGCCGACCAGACCCTGACGCCGTTCGTCGACTGCCAGCGACTGCTACGCAGCTCGCCGAAGGGGCCCTTCTTCCAACTGCACCCGAGCTTCGTGTGCACGCGCTCCGAGGCCACCTGCGACCTGGGCGAGGACCGAGCCGGGTCCCCGCTTACCTGTCCGGACGCCGCCGCGCGCGAGCATCAGCTGCGGGGCCTCGTCGCCTGGGGCGTCGGCTGCCAGAGCCAGCAGAAGCCGGGCGTCTACACCAGCGTTAGCGACTTCTATCGCTGGATCGACTACCACGTGACGGACCACTTCCGCTACATCGAGTCGTATTTCGGGTTTAATCAAGTGTGATGACATGATGGCTCGAGCCGGACTCAGTCTGGTGCGGGAGTGGCACAGGTCAGCGGCGCACGATTGAGCCGTTCTCTTTGCTGAGCAGCGTGTGAATGGATGAAGATTGTGAAATGGTGAAGGACGTATGGTGAAGAAAGATGTTGTACGCAGTGGTGAAGGTCGCGGAGCTGCAGGTGCTTGCGAAATTGCCGGATGCTGCAGTGCTGTTCCATGTGTTATCTGGTGACGGCTAGTGTTATGATGCTCTCGTGGCAAATTGTTCAAGCTGGCTTTCTCCCCCTGGTCAATAATTGTGTGAATCATTTTGAACGAAGCGCACAAGCGCTTCCCAGGTTTATCTGAATTACCTGTTGTGGCATTAGCGAATGCTGCGACTAATGTTTGAATGCAGGTCACATAAACTGTGTCGGCTGCCTGCAGCTTAGGACTATTTCCTGTGTCGGGTTCATGTTGAACGAGTGGATCACGTAACACTTTATGATGCAGGGTGTCATTTGTGTCATTCATTCGTGTGATGTCATGGTCCGTGGTCAATGATTGCTAATCATTGCCATGAAAGAACAAAATGACGGGTGCATGACTGGTGATATAAAATACGCTATGAGGTGCAGCGAATCGAGTTTCATCAAGGTTGTCCGCACTTTAGCCTAAAGAACGGACGAGCTGTTCACATCGGTGAATAATTTACTTTGTAAAATTCTTAAGTCCTAGGTTGGCGTTTGTAAAGATGCCTTAGATGGTTACATGTTTCGCAAATAATCCAGAGCTGACATTGGACGCTGTGGTCGCTAAATTATTGACTTCAATATACGTATGCGTCGGCGTAAGAAAAAAGCTGTCGATTCCTGTGTCAGAATGGATGTCATTTATGGCACTGGATAAGAAGCAATCTGCCGCGGCACAGTAGCCCCAAGAGGTCGTAGTTTTAGTCATGCTTTGCACATTGAGCCTTTTACAATAGGAGGCCCAATGAATGCTCCGGCCGACTTCATGTCAGTTATAGAGCAGGGCATCTTCTAGGACACTGGACCGGCTGTTCGAATGTCCTCCGCAGCCAGAGGACCCGCACCTGAGCACCTGAGCACCGTGCCTGAGCACCTGAGCACCTGAAGAGCCCGCACCTGAGCACCTGAGCACCGCACCTGACCTCAGAGCACCTGACATCGGCCAGGCCCGCTCCACCCAACACAGAGAGCCGCCGCGGCCGGATCGACCGTGTGTGCTCGGCTTCATTGCCGAGAGCGGTGGACGCGGCACTCCTGCTTCGCTTCGCCACACAGGGCCACGCATCTGACGAGGCCGCTGCCGGCGCTGCGCTGGCGGCCGGGTTATGCACATGTGGCCTCAGTCAATGCGGTATGCCTCCCTACGCAGTGCTGTCGTCTGTGATGCCGGTCTGATTATGCGGGCTTGTGGTTGGTGTCTGCTGCGCGGTGGTGATGCATCCTTCACGCCACGTCTGCCACCATTGAGCGCATTGGTCTGACTATGACTAGCGTTGCTGTTGCTGTTGCTGATGCTGTTGCTGATGGTGTTGCTGGTGCTGCTGCTGATGCTGTTGCTGATGCTGCTGCTGATGCTGTTGCTGATACTGATGCGCCGTGGAGCGTACTGGTCTCATTACGACCAGCGAGAGTGAAGCCGCGCTCATTGCGGTGGGCTGATTGGAAGAATGCCGACATGATGTAACGCTCACGCTGGGATCAATGGCAATGTTTACACACGTGCGGTGGTTGGCAGCCAAGTCTGACCGACTCAAAGAAAACACGGCGGTTTTAATTCGCAACGGCCTTGAATTATCGCTCATTCAGTGAACGATGGGAGTTCCGAGGTGATACCATCATCGCTGCATACGCCATTCCGATTGCGTGTTAGACTTGAAATTATTGACTTCTATAAATTGCCTTTACTTGACTTGAAATTGACTTTACTACAAATTATTGACTTAGAATTGAAAGTATAAATTGATTATTGACTCAACACAGATCGCCTGGCTTCAGGTTTGCGTCTGTTTTAAAACACTCAATTAAGTTGGATGTTGTGATGCAATGTCTGTCCAGCAGGCTTTCCCGCCAGTATTTTCCTAGCACAAAACCATAATTAAATGTTTGCTTGTATTTGGCACCGGCGAAGTCTACCACCCATTCCAAAGTCAGCTGTCAAAGATAGCAGGACACCGTTTTCAAGCCTTAAACCACCACCATCCCTCGATTATCACCGGAATCTTCACCCGAGCAGACCTCGCCGCATCTGACTTTCCATCTCTCTCAGTCGCTTGCGGTCGAACAAAACCGGGGAGCCGTCTCAAACCGGTGGCGAGTACAGCGCCCTAGGTGGCGGGGGGTTAAAGAACTCCCCTATCTTGTCATTCACCCAGCCTATCAGTTTGGGCACGCTGGCGTAAACGCCGGGCACACCGCCTTCACCGCAGCCGATACCCCAGGCCACAATGCCGGCCTGGACGTACTTGTTGGGGTCCGCCTTGCTGGGGCAGGCCAGCGGCGACCCGCCGTCGCCTCGGCACGTGTCGACCCCCTCTTGGCCGCCGGCGCACGTGAAGGAGTCGTGCAGCTTGAACCAGCGGCCCAGTCGTGTGGTGCGCAGCTTCGTCTGGCACGCCTTGTGCGGCACCACCTTCAGGTCCACCTGCTTCATGATGTTCTGGAACGTGCCGCCGCTGAAGCGGTCCTTGCCGAAGCCAGTGGCGACGCAAGAGGCGTGGTCGAAGTCCTCGTCTTCCTCGGGCAGACAGAGCGTGTCGATGTGCTGCTTCAGCTCCACCGGCTCCTCGAGGAACAACAGCGCCACGTCGTTGAAGAGCACGCGGCGGTTGAAGCGCTCGTGGGAGGCAATCTTGGATACCCGGTGTTCCTCGTGCGGGAAGATCTCCTTCTCGTGCTTGGTGTCCCAGTCGCCCAGCCGTACCCGCAGCTTGCTAACGTCTTTCCTGCGAGTGAGAACAACGCGGCGTTAGGACACAGGTCTGAGTACACTTGCTCCCAACGCGCTGACATCTCGTGCGAGCTTCACACACATGTATCATGAATTTGGGCATGCAATGTTTTTCTCATATTCAGCAGTTTGTCAGAATTGCTGCCAGCCGTTTTGTGTGTCTTACTCCCCAGCTGCAGCTTATTGGTCAGAGAAAAGGACGTGCCTGGTCCAGAGCGTGCCTCCTAATTCACGCACCGCCCACTCCGTGCCCGAATCGCAGACGCCGCATCCAGCTATCGACGCACCCGCCCGCTCAGCCATCGGCGCACCTGTTCACTCAGCCATCGACGCACCCGTTCACTCAGCCATCGACGCACCCGTTCACTTACCATCGGCACACCCATTCGCTCAGCCATCGATGCACCCTCGCTCAGTCATCGACGCACCTCGCCCATCGTCGACGCACCCGCACTCAGTCATCGATGCCCGCGCCCACTCACCCGTTGACGCAATGGGCGCCGGTCATGATGACCTGCTCGTGGATCAAGGAGGCCCCGCAGACGTATCGCTGGATTACCGCGCCGTACTCGAGCTCCTCGTCCTCCAGCACGATCGCCATCCACGGGAACTCTCCGAACTGGGATTCGCCCTCCTGCCAGGACGATTTCGGACATCAGACACGCGCCAGCAGACACAGCCCCCACTCTGCACGTGCTGAGCGTGCTAGAGCGCTCTTGTGGATCGTAATTCATGGTAGGCGTTTTATAAGGTGAGACTATCTTACTAGAGAATGGAAAGATAGGGAATACGAGCCTTGACTTAACAAGGAACATAGGAAAGACAGAGGGGTAGCAACAGGGGCTTTCTTTAAGGCGTAAGAGGAGAAGAACATCTTCTTCTCTAACGACCTGGTTTTCGGGGAATCGTGCGATATTCAGAGCATGATCATGTTTAAAGCGTGAGGCTGGGACAAATGTGATTTGTCTTATGCAATGGAGGAAGAACATGACAGGAACTTTCTGAGGCGACTACCAACACTGCCAACAGCGTCGTCCAATAATTTTGCAAAGCCGTTCGGTATCCGCTGTACAATCACCAGCACCCGGTACGTGCATGACAAAACTAAAATCCATCAAATGATGACAATATTCAAATATATCATAAATAACTGGCATCAAGAGCTCTCCCCTAAAGGTGGCGCGCTCCCAAAAAAGGCGCGCGGGACGACGTGGAATGCGACCGCCCATCAACGACCCGCCTGGCGCCGTGTCTCACCTTAAAGCCATCCAGGACGACACTGACGCCGTGCGGGTTGCGGTGTCCGCAGGAGGGGACGTACTCGTACTGGTTCAACTCCTCGGTGATGACTGGGTCGGGCTCGGACAGGGGCGACGTGCAGCAGACGTCGAGGAAGTTGTCGCACTGCGAGTTGGACTTGGACTCTTCTTCGGAGCCTGAGGTAGGCCCGAAGCGGATGTCGATGAGACCCTCGCCGTCGGTGATGATGTCGCCGTCCTTGCAGAGGTAGTACGGGACGCAGACGCAGTCTTGCGTCAAGTCTTCGTGCGATTCATAACTTTCGTCAGACTCGCTGTCATCGGTGGTTACAGCTGATGAGGCGCCTCCCCCAGTCGCTGATGATGCGGCAGATCCACCGGCAGCGGCCGAAGAGGCAGCCCCTCCTTCGCCGGCGGCAGATGAGGAAGCAGCACCGCCGGAGGCAGCAGAGGAAGCGGCACTGCCCTCCTCACCACCAGAGGCGGCGGACGACGAGGCGGCGCCACCAGAGGCGGCAGACGACGAGGCGGCGCCACCAGACGCAGCTGAGGAGGAGGCACCACCGCCAACGCCCTCACCTGCCCCAGATGCGGCAGAAGAGGAGGCGGCTCCACCAGAGGCAGCAGAAGAAGACGCAGCTTCCTCAGAGGCAGCAGAAGAGGAGGCGGCCCCACCGGAGGCAGCCGAGGAGGAGGCACCACCACCAACCTTTCCATCACCACCAGAAGCGGCAGAAGAAGAGGAGGCTCCACCAGAGGCAGCAGAAGAAGATGCAGCTCCTTCAGAGGCGGCAGATGAAGAGGCGGCACCGCCAACTTTTCCATCCCCACCAGAGGCGGCAGAAGAGGAGGCGGCTCCTCCGGAGGCAGCGGAGGAGGAGGCAGCACCACCAACGTCTTCACCACCTCCAGATGCAGCAGAAGAAGAGGCGGCACCACCGGAAGCAGCAGAAGAAGATGCAGCCCCTTCAGAGGCGGCCGAGGAGGAGGCACCACCACCAACCTTCCCATCACCGCCAGAGGCGGCAGAAGAAGAGGATGCTCCACCGGACGCAGCAGAAGAAGCCGCAGCTCCCCCAGAAGCAGCTGAGGAGGAGGTGGCCCCGCCTGCAGAAGCAGCAGAGGAGCCTGCCCCGCCAGAAGTAGATGAGGAGGAACCACCATCACCGACGGAGACCGTGGACGAAGTAGCTTCCTTATCCGCGTCATCCACAGACTCGTCGATGCTGTTCTCGATGATGATATCGGCGCTCTCTGTCAGCTCCACGGCTGGCAAGCACTCCAGACCGTACTCATCGGCCTGCGACACAGTGATCTCGACAATGTCATCCTCGCCAGTGCTGATGAAGTAAGACGTCTGGGACGTCTGCGCCGACTCGCTGCTGGAAGACTCGGAGCTAGAGCTGGAGGCGCTGACGACGCCGTCGGCAGCCAGAGGGTCTTCGCACCCGCCGGAGAGGGCGTCGTCGCACGGCGAGAGTCCCAGCAGGTCGAACATGGTGCCGATGTCGATGTCGGGCTCCTGGTCGGTCCTGTCCTGCTCCTGGTAGGGGACGGTCGGCAGCGAGGCCGCCAGGCCCAGGCAGAGGACGATCGCCAGCAGGCGCATCGCGAGCAGCTCGTGTCCCACTCTGAGGACGAGGACGTGAGGACTGTCAGCGGCCACTCGGCCGGGCGACGTGCTCGACTGGTGCCGTCAACAGGGCACGAGGCTTCGCAGAGACCGGTTTGAGTAGAGTGATGGTTCATGCTTGGGAATGGATAATCATGGCAAAGTTTCGGCGCGGAAGAGCAGTAACACTCTGGTGGCCGCAAAGATAGCTTTCATAAAGATTGTTCCGTTAAGAACGATCTGCGTAAAACATGTCAAGCCGCCTGAAAACCACCTAAAGTTACTTCGGGTCCCAACTATTGAGCTTATGCTTGGTAACCAATCTTAGTCCCCCGACAGGGGCAGATAATTTCAGCTTTTTTGATAATTTGCTTTTAATTAATTCTGTGCCTTCAGGACTGCAAAGCAGTAATAACGTCGCACGTAATGTTACAAGCACTGCTCTTAAAAGGCATGCAAGCTGCATGTCAGTGTTACAAGGCATAGATCCAGCTCACAGATCCCTGAAAATGACCAAAGTGGTATCTGAACCTGAACGTGACCGGCATTTGCCCAAACACTACCAGCTTCACGTGAGCCGAACGTGGTGCCAAGAATAAGAAATAACAACGCGAACGTGATTTGACAAACAACTGCTATGCAGCCGTAACAGCCAATGTCAAGCAGTTGCACAGCTGCTTAAGGTCTGCTGTTATATGTGTGCTTCAGGATACCTGTTCTCGCAGCCGTTTTCGGTCACTGGCATCGACTACATGATCGGAAGGCGTTAAGTCCCTTTAATTTTCCTGTCGCCTGTCTTAACTTCCAGCCATATATACCCCCGGCCGAATCTTGGCTTCCAGATACTGATACCTAGAATGTTGTTTTGGTACTGCAGTTGACGTGACTCTGGATCATATGCTGTAGCATATCTACGCTTGCTGTGTGTGGTGAGCCTTACCAACTTGTTTGTGCGCCTAAGTTGTGTGCTAGCGAAAGAACGTCTGAGCGACCTTGATCGCTTCTGACCGTATATATCCCCCTCTTCAAATGTCCAGGCCTCCGCCCGACCGCAGATCTGGGGCGCTGTTTGGCCTCGGCCCGACCGCCCGTTTACACTGACCAGGGGCCGGCGGTGGCGCGAGGCACAGGCGCGTCCGTCGTCCGCGGTCTGTTCGGTCTGAGCCGCGCCAGCCCGCCGCCCCGCTGACAGCCGAGTGGCGTAAACAGGAGGCGGGAGAGGCCGCCGGACCGCGCCGAAGCCCTGGTCCTCGACAGACTTGGTCCTAGTTTCCAGTCCTTGGTCCTGGACGGTCCTGGTCCTAGTCCCCCTGTCCATGTCCTGGATGGTCCTGTTCCTGGTCTCCTGTCCATAGTCCTAGACTGCCCTGATCCTGGTCTCCTGTCTCTTTTACTGAACGGACCTGGTCCCAGTCTTCGGTCCCTAGTCCCGGACGGCCCCGGTCCTGGTCCCCGCTCCCTGATCCTGGACTGTCCTTGATCCCGGTCCTCGGTCCTGGATGGCCTGGACTGGAGCGCCGGACCGCTCAGCGGCCCCGGTCACGGACGGACGGACGGACGGACTGGTCGTCCGAGAAGTGTTTGATGTGTGACTGATGCCGCAGAACGCATCGGTAGCTTATTATTGATTGTGCACAATTGAAATTATGTGCAGACGATTTTAGCGTATCCAGGTCTTATGCTGCTCTGAATTTGCGAATGCAAACTTGAATTGCAGTTTCATGAATCACATTTTAAGGGCCCAAGCCAAGCCGACTCACCAAGCTAACATCTAATTCTTTCTGCGAACCTACCTTTTCAGAGTCCATATCCGCTCCGGTTAAAGTCGTCAAAGTGAATACACGTTCCGATGAAATCACTGTGCGTCTGTCACAAGTTGACCCAATTCAGCACAATTCAAATGCATGATGCGTAGACACATTGTTGTTTTTGTGCGTGTGTCACTGTGTAGACACACATTTTGCTGTTTTTGTGCGTGTGTCATTGTGTAGACACATTGCTGTTTGTGTGTGTGTGTCATTGTGTAGACACATTGCTGTAGATACGTTAGCGTTAAACTTCTCAATCGGTTCCAATCTATCTGAACTGGCCGATCTTAAGTGCAATCAAATCACAATCCACGTGTTTTGAAAACATGCGGATCTAGTGAAATCCGAGCCGTTAATTGATTGGAAGTGCAGGGATATATCCAGTCTATGAGAACTAAGATGCATTCTGATTGCTCCGCTGTAGTGGGTTATTATTTACTTATACAACCTATGAAGGACCTCTTGTGAAGGAATGTTAACTGCCGCGGGCTGTTATACAACATTCTACTCCGACCTTGATCAAGTAATCCGCCACGACGCTTTTATAAGACATGCTGACAGCCGCCGTCTATTGATGATTTCAGCTTTCAGGGAGCCAAACGCAATTATACACATTTCGCCCCACCTGCCTCATGGCGTCACTCATTTCGCCTTAAACATTTCTGGCCAAAATTATCGTTGGCCGCGCGGGCACAAACACGGCGGGGTCGGACCCCGGCGCCAGAGGGGGTCGCTTTCATTCGTCATCGCCGCCGCTGGCTGGCCGGGCTGCGGGGCAGGGCCCGGGCAGCGCTGCTGTCGATGGGCGGCGACGGCAACAGTTTGTCAGATGGCGCTGCGGACCACATCAACCCGGCCTATCAAAACGTTCCGCCGTCTCCTGCCAAGCACAATACGCTTCAGGCTCATGCGGCGCCGGCCGCTTCGGCCGCTGCCGCCGCGCTCGATTACCGGTCTGGAGGTTTTGGAGAGTGCGTACGCGCGTAACGTTGCGTTACAAAATACGTCGCACACGTTTTCGTCCTTGTTTGCCATCTTTGATTGAAACCGCCTGACCAGCCACGCTTTATAGCAAAAATGGTGCAATCCACATCGTGAATGACGCGTGGCAATCTTTTCGAACTTTGACTGGGCTTAGCCTGGACGGACAAAGTGTGCTTAAGTCAGAAATTAACACTGGGCGCAAATCCGTGTTTGTGTTGAAAATAAGTCACTCCGTGGCCTCATTCGGCTGCCTGGTGCTGCCTGTTACGTGATTACAGCCTCTCGGCACTGGATCATGCTGCACAAGATGAAAGGTCAAATAAATCGTCATATCCTCATGCTAGGTCATCATGGGTCATCCTCAACCATTGCTGACTTTGTAACATAGCACTCGTTATGCCGGTTATATCTGAAACACTGACGGTAGGCTCAAGCGTGACCAACTGTGTCAAGTTATACCAGTTTTTGTATTAAGTTAACCACGTGCTCTGATGTGTGGCTAGCACGACGGGGAGTTACACCAATGAGACAAATATACTGTTGTGTATGCTATCTGACGATTTTCTAGCTTTGCGAACAGATAAAGACACCTCCGGGTGACACACTGCGGCAGTTTATATCTGCTGACTGCTGTTCTGCGTTTCAGACTCCGTTGTACCCCACATACATACATCTTGATGTTTTTGTCCGCTAGTTCATAAACCCTTGACCCTAGTGCAGGCCGTTGTCATTATATGAAAATGCAGTTTGATCACAAATCTGTCGAAAGCGTTTGATTAACAAAGTGTTTGACGTCGTCGCTAGCCACGAGATTAACAAAACATGTTTTGGTGCTACATATTCTAACATAATCGGAAGTAGTCTTCAGTGGTTTCAGAAATTAATGACGGTAAAACGACACCTCGGGTAAATCGCTGGTATTTAATCACAATCCATACCAAGGTATCACTTCGACTGGGCAGGGTAGCGCATTCTGCGTTAAGCTTATGCCATATCACAGCGATTTATTATAGACAGCAACTCATTGCTGCAGTATCTTTATGATCTAAAGGTGCAAGCATCTGATCTGTAAGACAAAATGAGAGCACTTTGCTGTAGACGAGGAGCCAAACCCTCTGATTCTGATCTTAAAAATAAATTATTTTACACCAATTCCAGTCACGTGAATGTGGTGATGTACCCTGCCGAACTTTACAAAACGATTTTTTTTCTTGCAACGCATTGTTGTAACTTTAAGGCATTAATCGACGTCGTCAGACGTCCGGGGCTGTTGCAAAGATTTCCAGCCAACACGAAATGGCCACACAAAGGCATTCAAGTTTAACACACACACACAAACACGCACTCACGCATAAACACACACGCATATATATATATATATATATATATATATATATATATATATATATCCTGTAGATTAGATTGTGTCATTTGTGCTATGCTCTCACCTTTTTAATAACAAATCCACGTCCGTTCAGGAGCCCCAGTGTCGTCTTCCCAGTCAAGTAGCTATGTGCGGTGCGTGCCTGTACGGTCTCCTATTTATGCAGGCGCCCTCAGCAGCGACATACCCCGGACCATTCGTCCGAAGCGAACGCAAATCGTGCTTCCCAATGTAAACCCAGCGTCCAGACGTCGATTCAGTCACATAAACACGTCGGGAAAACCAGAGCGCTCGCCCGGCAGGCACGGGCGGCTACAGCCGGTCGCTGACGCTGTCAGCTAAAGGGCGACGGTGAAGCTAAAGGGCGTCGGTGACGTTAATGGGAAGTCATCAACTGCGCTGGATGTCAGCAGTTGAACCGGACGCCGATAAGAAAGTGGGTTATTTCGGAGCGTCGATGGACGCTGGTGTTCTGGGCAGGCCGACCACTTTCGGAGGTTTAGTAAGAACAGGGATGGATTTTATCTATCGTCTCATTGGTATGCTTCTTGCTTTCTTTGTTTCACGTTCATGGCTCACCATCGTATATCGTAGTTCAGCAAAATATATTGCTGTAACGGCGTTCACAGACGATCTGTCATACATGAGTCACAGTACTTGACTAAAACGGTACCAAGCGTTTCAAACATGCTCTCCACATGTTTGATCAACAAAATATACACCCGACTACGCCAAGCCAACGTTCAAATGTTCCCGACATTGCTCTTAGTGTGACGCAAACACAGGAATCGAATCGAATCGACAGGAATCGAAAGTCAAGGTACAACTATTTCACTTTTCGTGAAAGTTGAACATGTGCTACAGGATAATGTTTAACATATTGAGTTAAGAGTTGGTTTGGAAAACAAAGTTTAGGAACTTTCTAAATAGGTAGGTTTGACCCATCTAGAAAGTTTTTACACCCATGGAACTTGCCTAGATCTAAATCGCAGGACCGTGGATCTAGATCGTAGACAGTAGATCTGCTATCTTTAGCCATCTTGCTTTCACATGCCCCAAGCCAGAGCGATTTGGATAAATGCCGCATTTAGCATTCAGCCGTGGGAAAAACTGGACTGGCGTGGAAAAGCCTTGACGGACACATAATGGGTTGATTTTGATAGCGTTCATATTGATAATTGAAATTAAAATAAGAGGTAAGTGTCGTTTTCTGAGGTTTTTGCCTAGATATGCCTCGTTTGACATTTGGTGGAAAACTGGGCGGAGACGTGTGAATTGCACGCGCTATTCTTCAAAAAAATTTGCTGTAACGAATGGACCCGGTTCAAATTTCAAACTTGTGAAAACAGCGGGTTAGCGTTTGCATTGCCTTTCATACCGGCGGACTTGATTCGACTGGATCATAAGCATCCACTCAGCCACCACAGCGTACCGACGGGCCTTGTCAAGCCTCTGCTCTGGCGGGTCTTGGAGCTATCGGACGGCTCGAAGCCGTGAACACTACGCATGACTGAGGTGAAATCCCACCCATCATCGCCACTCCAGCCACGTACCCCACCGCCGACACAACCACGACGCCCGCACGCCCCCAGCAGGAGACCCTTCCGCCCACTTGTTGCTGACGCCGAACACTATCGGCCCCCTCACGCGGTGTGACTGGGTCCGCCCCCGCCAGCCTGGACAGCCAGGCCACATGGCTAGGCTCAGGCAAACATCCAGCAGCGTGGAATCCTGAACTGTGCGTCAAAGAACGTCCTGGTTTTGAATGGAAACGGGCATCGTTACGGAGAAGGGTCTTTCCAAATGCGTGATGACGCGTAGAAAACCGTACTGCAGCTTTGCTATCTTTGCTGTCTGTGAATTGATTGCTCCGTTCTCTTAAACGCGGTAATTCTTATCTCGGCTGGAGCACACTCTCCTCGTGGCGATCTCACGTTCAGGCAGGACGAACGGTCAGGTAGCACTAGAGATGTCAGCCACCAGTCGGGACAACAACGTGTACCAACAGCAAATTGCGGTTGGTATTTGCAAGCGCTCAGTGCTCTTTGCGAGTGGGTATGAGCATAAGTTGTGATGCGTGTAATCAATATGTAATAAGTACTGTTGGTTTTACTATTATATTCATGCCAGAGTAATTGCTGCGAAGCGCGGCGTCGTGCGACGAAAAGCCATTTCTGGTAGAACAGATACCCTAAGCTACTGATAAAAGAAGTGGTAGAAGTCGCGTCCTATATCGCGAGATCACTGCTGACTCGCCCGCCCTGAATGTCTAAGCATGACGAAGCCAGCGCCAGCGGGCAGGGGCGGACAGCGGGTATCATTACCAGTCTCCCGGGCTGGCAGCCGGTCGGCCCGGCCGGTCTTAGTCAGTGCTCGGTCGTGACCGCTGCCTCCGGGCACAACCACGTGACCTGGCCGAGGTCGGGAGTGTGAGCCCGAAGGGGTGGGAAAGGACGGGAAGCGACGAACGCGTGCGGTCGATTGGCGATGACGATGTTCCTGGCTTGGCTGCGTAATGCGAATTTTGTGCGTATGCAGCGGCAGGCGGGTAACTGAAGGGGGATGGGAAAAGGCGCCGTTGAGTTTGATCACAGGTCGCCTAGGCTTAGTACCTATGCAGGCGACGCCAGGCACCCTTTGTGGACCGCACAGCGCTTGGGCGCTACGCAGGCTATTACATGCATGGTTTTGGGTTAACCAGTTTCAGTTGTTTTGAACCATTTCTGATTCCTGCTATCTTTGAAAAGCATGACTTCAAGGCAGGGGCGTCGTTTGCTATTCAGTTGGGGGAATGGGGCAGAGGGGGGAGGGGGCGCTTCACCCTCCCCCGCCCCAAGCTTAAGCCTCAACCCTCCAACTTTGGCAAAAACTGTGCGAAATCCGGTGAGAAACCTGTTTCTTGGCATATTTGGGGGCAGTTTGAGCCCCATTTTCGCTATTCAGCCCCCCCCCCGCAGCTCACTTGGCGAAACTACGTCCCGACTTCAAAATGATTCCTCTACAAAGTGCTTACTGCACCAATGTCACCAAGCTTTGGCGTGGCATCGGGGAGGGGGGGGGGGCTAACCGTCCGCCGGCCGACAGCGCCAACCCTGCCGGCAGGATGTGAAGCGCGTTGATAAGATATCCCATTAAGCTGTTGATGCCTAGAGCTGCATTCCTGGCTGCGAGCACAGTGCTATCGAGCCGGTGGTCAGCACGACCGCTCGACCAGCGCGGGCGACGCTCCTCGGGTCAGACCAGCAGTCGGGCGACGCTCCTCGGGTCAGACCAGCAGTCAGACCAGCAGTCCTCGGGTCAGACCAGCAGTCCGATCCCGCCCAGGACCCCGCGGACAGCGAACATCAGCGGGCAGCGGACGTCAGCGAAAAGCGCAGCCGAAGCACAGACACCAACGGACACGAACTGGCAGACAAACCGAAAGACGTCAGCTCAGGGCGGGCCGTCCTGCCGCGGGAGTCGACAAACTAAGAGTCAGATGCCGTGGACTGCTGCCCACGCTGTGGACGTCGGCGGACGTGGACGTGGGGCGCTGTGAGCAGTGTCACTCGCTGACGTCGGCGGTCGTGGACTTGGGGCGCTGTGAGCAGTGTCACTCGCTGACGTCGGCGGTCGTGGACGTGGGGCGCTGTGAGCAGTGTCACTCGCTGACGTCGGCGGACGTGGACGTGGGGCGCTGTGAGCAGTGTCACTCGCTGACGTCGGCGGACGTGGACGTGGGGCGCTGTGAGCAGTGTCACTCGCTGACGTCGGCGGACGTGGACTTGGGGCGCTGTGAGCAGTGTCACTCGCTGACGTCGGCGGTCGTGGACGTGGGGCGCTGTGAGCAGTGTCACTCGCTGACGTCGGTGGACGTGGACGTGGGGCGCTGTGAGCAGTGTCACTCGCTGACGTCGGCGGTCGTGGACGTGGGCGCTGTGAGCAGTGTCACTCGCTGACGTCGGCGGACGTGGACGTGGGGCGCTGTGAGCAGTGTCACTCGCTGACGTCGGCGGACGTGGACGTGGGGCGCTGTGAGCAGTGTCACCCGTCGAGGACCTGGTGGCCGGCTGCCGTGGGCCCAGCAGGGTCGTCAGGCGCTGCCAACCCCTGAGGTCAGCATCCCGTCTGCGGTCTCCGGCTCCTGAAATCTTCGCCAGCCTTCCGCTTCCTCAGACGTCTGCGACCACTACAGGCGGCGCCGCGGAAGGCCGCGCCACGTCAGCTGGGAACTGAGGCTAAACACCTGAAGGGCCCATCCAAGCAGAGCATGAGCCGAGCACTCTGGCCTCTGGTGCTGTTGACGACGCTGTTGTCTGCAAGAGCTGGAGAATACTGTGACGACTTTGAGGATGGCGACTTTGGACAGTTTTGGAAATCAGGTAACTCTACTACAGGTGGTCAGTGGAAAGCGAGTAGTTACCTGAAACTGAACAAGAGCATCCAAGATTTTCCAGAACCGGCGTACGGTGACACCGTTATTTACTTGACTCCAGCCGTGAACAGCCAAACTATGAACGACAGGCTGGACATGACAGACGAGTACATCTTTCCCGATGGTTCAAGCATTTCTTTCCGGTATTGGCTGCGCTCTAAGCATCCGGCCGCAGTCACTCTTCGAGTGAGTCGCTTCTTTCGGGGAATCGAGGACACAAACTACATCTTGGATCTAACAGATTCCTCCGGACCAGATAATATAATCTGGACGAAAACCAACGCGAATATTCCTAACGATACCAGACCGTTTAAGGTACGTACTACTTTTTATTGATAATCTTGCCAGCTCAGTTTTATTGAAAAGAATGTGTGAGCTGAAGACATATGTATGCTTAATAGTTGAACGAAAAGAACAAACAGTTGGTACAAGCAAGAACAGCTCGATGCCTCAGTTTTTTGTGCATTATCAGTTACGTGCCTTGCACTGATAATAATCAGTCTAAGTTATCCCAAAAAGATGCTGGTTATCAAGCGAGTATTGCTCATATTAGCAAAACTATGTAGATGTCTCAAGCCCAGTTTTGAAGCGTGGAGTATCGACGTCACGAATGACGTCAATGGCTCACGATAACAAATAGTCGCTAATACTTAAACAACGTTATCTAGAGTTTTGCCATTAAAACCAGTGTCCCCGTGGCCACATTTTTCACCAGCGGCTTCTGAAATACCGAAAGCTGGTTTTTGCCATGTAGC